CCCCACCTCTCCAAGGTTTCCAAAGCCACTCTCGAGCTGTGGTCACTGATGGGCCCAGCTATGGCCGGAGCAGGAAAGCAAAGGATTCAGAGCAGTCAGGTGCTTGTTAGCAGCGGCCCAGGGGTACTGACGAGTCCTGGGAACTTCCTCCAGGAAGCCCCTGGGGCAGCACAGACATCCTGGATTGTGAGGGTGTGGTGGTTAGATATGGCTTGTTTCCTGCAAGACAGAGCTCCTTTTGCGCCCCTCTCTGTGCTTGAGGCAGGGGACGTGGGGACACCATAGCCTCCCCTCCAAAACAGGGGTCGGGAGATGGCTCTAAGCTATGTGGGGGCCCGTCATGCTCGATTAGTGATGGGATCAGTGAGGTGAGCGGCTCTGGCTCCAAGCAGGCAGGGAGACTTGGGTAATTCCTCCTCTGCTCTGCCCGTCAGCTCCATGAGGTTTTCCAGAAAACTCATTTCTTTAACATGCCTCCAAATACACATGCATTCTCATGCGTGAAGAAGAGGAAGGCATGGAGAAAGGTGCTCAGGGGGAGGGCATTACCTGAAGGGCACTGTCCTCAGTCATGAATGAGACAAACGGTCATGTCACCACTAGATGGAGAAGGGAGAGGGATTGATGTCATTGGGTGCTGGTGGCTCCGAGGGGGGTTCCCAGCCTGGACTAGACACAGACCAGGAAACTTGGTGGGAACAAGGCCTGCTCAAAGGTGTGAACTGGCAAGGCCCTTCATAAGAGGCTGTCATGGCCATTATACAAACAGGGAAACAACCCCAAGGTAAGGTCCATCCAGAAGCCAGGCCCTGCTCCCGGGACGGGCTCCCGAGCAGAAAGACCAGGAACTCCAGAGCAGCCATGTAGCTTCTCCCAGTTTCAGGGGCAGGCAGGGCATGGGAGCCATGGAGAGAGTTAGAGGAAGGGCAGATCTCTCAGGAAGCAGGTACCCGGCCACATGTGAGTCTCTGGGTGTAGACAAACACGTGGCCCAAGGCTCAGCATGCTACACACATCTAGGGTGCATCCCTACCCACCATCCCAAGCTAGGTCTTCCATCCCCTCTCATGTTACAGATGAAGAGACCAAGGCTCAGAGAGGGGCAGGGAATAGGCAGGGTCACACAGTGGGTCTGAGCCAGACAGATCCTACCTAAAAAGAGGGCGGGGCTCAATGCTGACGACTTTTCACTTTGGAGGATGGGATGCCAGCTCACCTGTCTTCAGCTACAATGGCTTCATCTAACTTGTGGGACAGCTTCTGGAGATGCTGAATTCCTGTCCCCACAGGCTCCAGGTCACTGTCAGACTCACTGAACAAAAGGAAAAGCCAACTTAGTGACTGGCTGGAAACCTGTCGCAGGAGTAAAGCAGCCCCTGCCACCCCCAGCCCAGCACTGGGGCCTGGTCTACAGGCCCAGGAATGACCACCTGACCCCAGACCATCTGTTCAGGAAGTGACAGAGTGCCTTTGAACACTTGGCAGAGAACAGAGATCACAGCCCATGAGGCCAAGGTCACGGGCAGGTGTGCTCTGCTTGGAGACTGAGCCTTAACCAAAAATCCAAACCCATTGCTGTCAAATTGATTCTGACTCATACTGATCCTATAGCAAAGAACAGAACTGCCCCATAGGGTTTCCAAGGCTGTAAATCTTTACAGAAGCACACTGCCATATCTTTTCCCTGTGGAGCGGTTGGTGGGTTTGAATGCTGACCTTTTGGTTAGCAGCCGTGCACTGAACCGCTGAGCCACCAGCCTGGGCTAAATCCTTCCAGATGGTTTAAAGCTTGCTTTTGGGACCACCAGGAGGCTTGGGTGATATGATACAGTCAGAGCTAAGCTCACTGCTTCCCTTTACAGATAGGGAAACAAAGGCCCTAAAGAACCCCTCCCCCAGATCCCCCAGTAGTGGGGCAGAGCTGGACCAGACATGGGTGCCCCTGGCTCCACGTAGCCCTAGGAGGTGCTCAGAAGCCCCTTGGGTCCAGTTAGTGTTTGGGGGCCAGGGAAGAGAAACTGCCTGGACTCAGAGGCCACAAGCCCTGTGGGGAGGCACTATCCTACTTGCCCGGGGGAGCAGAGGGGCTCTGTCGAGGAATAGGGGCTCCGGAAGGCAGCCTCCCTTCTGGACCGCCGTAGTGGGTGGGCCCGTGGGCCCCTCTGGGCAGAGGGGCTGTGCCGCTCCTTCTCTCAGGGGTCCAGGGCTGAATAGGCAGGGGTGGCTCCAGACAGCCGGGTGTTCTTCTGGCTCAGGCTGCGAGGTGGAGGGCTACCGCCCTTCTGTGCCCCTCTCTTCCTTCTGGCTTTCACCTGGGTTTCCACCAGCCACTTGGTGCCATGTTGGCAGGACTCTTGGATTCTCTGAGACAGATACATGGAAAGATTAGCATGAAGCCAAGGGCGAGCTACCCCAGCGTCCCCAGGCCATACCTCCAATCCCTGGGCCCACCAGCCGTCCCACACATGTTGGCTGCTTTTGGTCTCAAGGGCGAGGGACGGAGATGACTCCATGTGAAATGGCTCCATTGCAGGGACCCAGATCAGAGCCTCTCGGGATGTAAGTGCAGAGGTCAGCAGCTGGAGGATCACTCTGGACCATAGAGACTCTACTCGTTGATGTCCAAACTCTCTTTAGGGGACACAGATTGACCCACAGACTCATGGGGAAAGCCCAAAGACCATGTCCTGTACCTTGACCCAGGAGATAATTTGTCTTCTTGCCTCTGGTCTCTCTCTAATCCGTCATCCACACTTGTCCACAAAGATCCTCTAAAGGATGGTTCTAATCATGACACTCAATTGCACAAAGCCCTTCTATGGCTCCTCATTGCCCATAGGATCAAGCCCCACGTCCTGGGACTGTCACTCAAGACCTTTCACACCAGCTTGGTGGAAGGATGTGATAGCTGGGAAGGCTCTTCCTTAGCTAAACTATCTTTGCCTTGGCAAGCCAGAGTCTAGAGGTTAGACCAAGACCTGAATTACATTTGGTGAGTTATGTGACCTTGGGCAGTTCAGCTTATTTCATTTCTTTGATCCCTGGGGGTGATGAAAACAACCAGACATTTCCAAACAAAGACTTTCTGCAAAGGGCCCAGAAATAGTTACCCTTTCTCTCTCCCTTGAAGTCTTCAGAATTCCCAGTCAGATATGGAGGAGAAAACCCTTCACCCCATGCTCTCCTGGGAAGGTCTAGTTATACTCATGGCTTCTTTCCCTTCTAAGTGATACTTCCTGATCTCTCCAGCTTCAGGTTTGAAGACATGTCCACTTGGAGATCTGATGGGCACCTCATGCTCAACATGTATGACATCTTCTTACCCACAGATTTCATCTGATACCAAATCCTCTCAAATCTACCTTCTGAATAGCTCTAGAACTTGTTCACTTCTCTCTAGGCCCAGGCCTCCTGCTCTAATCTCATTGCTGTCAAGTAGCTACCGCTCATGTTCCAGTATGCTAATCTGCCCAGATCCTTACCCTGTTTAAATTCTCTGTATTGGGAGAGTCTAAACACCTTTAGCACACTGGACCCCTCTCTCTCTGCCACACCGTGCTCTCTGTCCTCAGGCCATGTTGTTGTTATTAGCTGCCCCTGATTCTGGGTGACCTCATGCACAATGGAACAAAACGATGCCTGGTGCTGTGACGGGCCTTCTTTCCTCGTTGGTCTTAGTCTGGAAGCTCTGCTGAAATCTGTTCAGCATCATAGCAAAGCACAAGCCTCCACTGACAGACAGGTGGTGGCTGCACACAAGGAGCACTGGCCAGGAATAGAACCCTGGCCTCCTGCATGGAAGGCAAGAATTCTACCACTGAACCACCATTCCCCTCACTTCCATTTCCTCTGGCCTTGCTGTTGTTGTTAGGTGCCGTCAAGTTGGTTCCGACTCATAGCGACGCTGTGTACAACAGAAGGAAACACTGCTGGTCCTGCGCCGTCCTCACAATTGTTGCTATGTTTGAGCCCATTGTTGCAGCCACTGTGTCAATTCATCTCGTTGAAAGTCTTGCTCTTTTTTGCTGATCCTCTACTTTACCAACCATGATTTCCTTCTCCAGGAACTGGTCCCTCCTGATAACATGTCCAAAGTACATGAGATGAGGTCTCATCATCCTCCCTTCTAAGGAGAATTCTGTCTGTACTTCTTCCAAGATAGATTTGTTATTCTGGCAGTATGTTCAATATTCAGTATTCTTTGCCAACACCGTAATTCAAAGGCATCAATTCTTCTTTGGTCTTCCATATTCACTGCCCAGCTTTTGCATGCATATAAGGCAATTGAAAATACCATGGCTTGGGTCAGGTGCACCTTAGTCTTCAAAGTGACATCTTTGCTTTTTAACACTTTAAAGAGGTCTTTGGCCCTCTGGCCTTACCCAGACCAAATTCCTGCCAGTTCTCTTGAGCATCTTGCTCTCCCTCACCTCTGGGTCTGGACTCAGGCTATTTCACCTGCCTTCAACACACTTCAGCCCTGGTGGTGCAGTTGTTAAGAGGTTGGCTACTAAACAAAAGGTCAGCAGTTCGAATCCACCGGCTGCTCTTTGGAAACCCTATGGGGCAGTTTTACTCTGTCCGCTAGGGTCGCTATAAGTTGGAATTGACTCGATGGCAACGGGTTTTGGTTTAAACATGCTTCAATGGGGGCAGTGGGGTTCAGCTGTAGAGTTCTCGCCTTCCGTGCAGGAGACCTGGTTTGATTCTTGGCCAATGCACCTTATATACAGCCACAATCAGTCTGTCGGTGGACGCTTGTGTGTTGCTACATAGGTTTCAGCAGAACTTCCAGACTAATGCGGACTAGGAAGAAAGGCCTGGTGAGCTACTTCCAAAAAATTAGCCAAGGAAAACCCTATGGATCACAACGGTTCAGTCTCATTGTGCATGAGGGTGCCATGAGCCAGGGGCTGACTGGATGGCAACCAGCAACAATAACAACCACCACACTTCTCCTTTGCTGGGTGATCTCCTTGGAGCCACTTCCTCTCGGAAGCCTTCAGTGACTAAGCTTTTGTCTGGTGTTCCCCCACCGTAAGCCCCCACTGCCGCTTGCTTGTAATTCCCTAGGACAATCCAGTTCTTACACCTTGGACTGTGAGGATCTGTTTCCTCCATGGCACTGTTTTCATTCACTCATTCACCTATTTGTTGAGCACCTACTATACACCAGGGACTATATGGGGTGCTAGGGTAACAACAATCAACAAATCAAAGTCCCTGTCTTCATGGAGTATATATTCTTGTGGGTTTCTTGAGGACAGAACCTGTCCGGCACCAAGGAAAACCAGTTGCCTTTGAGTTGATTCCAACTCATGGCAACCCCATGTGTATCAGAGTAGAACTGTTTTCCATAGGGTTTTCAATGGCTGATTTTTCCAAAGTAGATCACCAGGCCTTTCTTCCGAGGTGCCTCAGGGTGGACTCAAACCTCCAATCTTTTGGTTAGCAGCTGAGTGCCTTAACCAATTGCACCACCCCAACCCATTGCCGTCGAGTCGATTCTGACTCACAGTGACCCTATAGGACAGATTAGAACTGCCCCATAGGGTTTCCAAGTAGCAGCTGGTGGATTCAAACTGCGAATTTTTTGGTTAACAGCTGTAGCTCTTAACCACTGCACCACCAGGAACTCCTAAAGCCCTCCATAAATGGATGGTTAGTAATGTCAGTATTACCTGGGACATGGCACCCAAAGCACTCTTAGCTGAGCGTGCTGCAGCCTGGAGACCCTGCTGCCCTGGCTCTGGGTTTTCCAGGCGTTTCCAGGAAGGGCCAGCCCCGAGGTTGAGGCTGACTGCTCTCAGGGGCAGCCTCCTTTGGAACTGTCTGCACAGGGAGCCTAGGGCGCTGGTGGAGCTCTCCAGACTGTCAACTGCAGGCTGCGGCACCACGCTCTCCTGGAGCTGCTCCTGGTCCTGCAGAGATCTGCGGCGCCTAGAGGCCCCCACACCCTGCCACCGAGAGGCCATCTGCCTGGCCACGAGTCTGCGCTGCCCACCAGACCCTGGGGAGAAAGTCAGAGGGCAAGTCAGCAAGGCACCCTCATCCCCATCCTTACGGAGATCCTGGGTACAGGGAAGAGACGAGATGGAGGCCCATGGAAGGTGAGGGGGAAGATGGCCCAGGCTGGGTGGGGTGGGGGGCACGTGGTAACTGTGGGTGCGGGGTGGAGGAGGCTTCTTGGAAGAGGTGTCAGCAAAGCCCAGAAGAGGGCAGAGGCTGAACAAGGATGGCAAGCATTCCCTGCTCTCCCGTGCTTCCAAGACAGTTGTCCTTTCCTCCCAGCCTCCATTTCGCTCTCTGCCTCCGGAGGGGAGGGAACCAGGGTCAGGCCTTGTCCTGGCTGAGCCCCAGGCACAATTGCCCTGACCTAACGCGCTCCAGTTCAAGCCCAGGCTGACCAGAAGCCCCCATTCCGGCCAGACGCTCGCGATACCCAGGCTCCCCCACGTGCTGTGCCTGTCTTAACTAAGAGCCGCACTCGAGCGCGGCTCCTGTGGACCGAAGCCCCTCTAAGTCCGCCCGCACTCACCCAGCAGCCCAACGCTGACCAGACGCGGCCGCAGCTGCCCCTCTTCGGCCTCGGCAGATTTGAAACTCCGCGCGGCCCCGCCCCGGACCCAGTCCTCGCCGCTGATTGGCCCCGTCCCCGACTCCGCGGCCATGCCGGGGATTTCGATTGGCCTCCTCCTCTCTCGGCTGTAAATCCTGCTCTCGGATTGGCCTGGCCCTTCCCATTCATCTCTCAGGACCCCCTTCTAGGCTTGGCGCCCCTCGATTCCTCCCCTTTGTATCTGCCCATCCCGCCCTACCGCTGCCTGACTTCTCCGTCCCTTTCGGCCCAGCCCCCGCGCCACCTTCTGGACGCTCGGCACCGCCTGCGGCGCCCCAGTCCGCATCTGAGGCCGGGGGCGGCCTCCCTCGAACCTGCAGGAGGTCCGGGATTCAGGCTGTCTGACTAAACCGAGCTTGAAGGGGGCGTCCCGGGCACGGAGAAGACCCAGGGTCCAGTGGCCTGGAGCTCCAGGCCCCTCAGCCCGCAGCTTCGGTCTGCCCTAGTCTCCTGGGACCTCCCACCCGGCCCAAGAGGTCTGGCTTTCTTTCTTGGTCAGTGGTTTGTCAGAAAGAGCCAGGACTGGGGTTCAGAGCCCGGTGTTCCCATGGAGGTTTTGCCTCAAATTTCCCTCATGCCCTTCTATGTTACTGAAGACAAGGTATTGCCATTTTCTGTATCCCCCAAACTCCCTACCCACACTCTGCCCCCAAGAAAACACCTTCTGCGAGAGGCGACAGGCCCGGAGTCTTTCTCCCTGCCTTCCAGTTAAGCCTCTCTGTGGAAGAAAGTCCTGGTGGTCCGCTTCCATAAAGACCGCACCCAAGAAAACCCCATGGAGAAGTTCTTCTCTGTAACACATGGGTCGCCATGAGTTGGAATTGACTAGAAAGCAGCCTTTATAGTTTATAGTTTATTTCCACCACCTGCCTGTCAGCTTGTTGTACTGTGTAGTGGCTTGCATGTTGCTATGATGCTGGGAGCTATGACACCAGTAATTCAAGTACCGGCAGGGTCATCCATGGTGGACAGGTTTCAGTGGAACTTCTGGATGAAGACAGACTAGGAAGAAAGACCTGGTGATCTACTTCCAAAAATCAGCCAGTGAAAACTTATGGATCACAACAGAACATTGTCTGATCTAGTGCTGGAAGACGAGCCCCTCAGGCTGGCTGGCACTCAAACTACACAGTGGCCACAACAATGGACTCACGCATACCAGTCATGGTGAAGAGGGCGCGTGAGCAGGCAGCGTTTCATTCTGTTGTACAAGCGGTCGCCATGAGGTGAAGCTGATTCGACAGGAATTAACAGTAGTCTATTTAACTTAAGAAACTGAGGTATAGAGAGGTTAGGGTGAGCCCAAATTTCCCTCAGCTAATATGTAGCAGAAGGAGTCCTGGTGGTGCAACGATTAACTGCTCGGCTGCTAACAGAAAGGTTGGAAGTTCGAACCCACCCAGTGGCTCCATGGGAGCAAAACCTGGTGATCTGCTCCTGTAAAGATTACACTCTAGAAAACCCTATTGAGGCAGTTCTACTCTGTCCTATAGGGTCACTATGAGTAGAAAAATCAACTCAAGTACGCCTAACAACAGCAACAGTACGTAGCAGAGCCAAGGATCCAAGCTTGGGCAGTCTGAGACCAGTGTCTACGTGCTTAACCATCACGCACACTGCCTCTCCTCAGCCCCTCGTCCCTCCGCCTCCAGCCTGGACCTCTCACCACAGAGTTAAATCCCATCACCTCCTAGATACCCATTGCTGTCTGGATGCTGCAGGCACCTTAAATCAACATGTCCCCACTGAAGCCACCCTGGTCCCTCTCAACCCTTCTTCTCCTCCTCCCCCATGGTCCCTCTTGCGTATCTTTCCAGATAGTATCTACTGCATGCCTGTGATGTATTCAACAATGTGCTAAAAGTGGGGATAAAAAGGTCCACAAAACAAAGGTAAACCTTATCCTCATAGAACTCAGAATCTACTATGTAGGGGAAGAGGCGGACATTTTGACCAACGGAATAACCACTAATCAGTGAATCAAAGACTCTCAGAAAATTTAGTTCATTTAAAGCTGATAGCCAGAGAATGAGTAGGAATTAACCAGGCAAAGAACGTGTTTGGGTGCGAAGTTAGGGAGGGTGGTGAGGTGTGGCGGAGGGTCTTCCTGGCAAAGGGAACAGTATGTTCAAAAGGACCGGTACCCACTGTAGGAAACCTGGCACACACGTATGTACAATTGCAACAAAAGTTTCATGAAATGATACTTAACTGTGTGTGATGTGTTATGATACTTTATTTTCTATTTCGTTTGAAAAATGCTGGTTCCAGCTCACTGAGTTTATTTTATAATGACTCACTAATGGGTGTAATCTGCAGTTTAACAAACACCCTTCTAGTTTGCTGGTTCACTTTGTTCCCCTAAGTTGAGTTGTTGACCAGGAGCTGTTACTGGATGAAGACAGACTAGGAAGAAAGGAGGCCTGGCATGCTACTTCCAACAACCAGCCAGTGAGAACCTTATGGATGACAATGGACCATTGTCCGATATAGTGGTGGAAGATAAGCCCCTCGGGTTGGAAGGCACTCAAACTACGCACTGGCCACAACCAGTGGCGTCACTAAGGGGGTTTAAGGGATGTGGACTGCATCGTGTGACACTGTCAGAGAGGGTGACACCAAAATGACTGTCTACAAAATTTTTGTGTGGTGTTTCAGCAGAAATTGATTATTTTTAATAAAAATATCCCTGTAGTTAGTTATAACAATGAATTTTTTTCCATAACCTAGCTTATGTGTATCAATATACCTACAAGGCTGAAACTCTATACTCATGAACGTTTTGAACCTTCTAATGCACTCCAGTCAGAGCTGTCGTTATGGATTGAATTGTGTCCCCCTAAAATATGTGTCAACTTGGCTAGGCCATGATTGCCAGTATTGTGTGTTTGTCCTTCATTTTGTGATCTGATATCATTTTCCTATGTGTTGTAAATCCTAATTTTGCCTGTGGTTAATGAGGCAAGATTAGGTTACGTTAAAGAGGATTAGGGTGGGATGCCACACCCTTACTCAGGTCACAACCCTGTAGGGGAGTTTCCCTGAGGTGTGGCCTGCATCGCCTTTTATCTTACAAGAGACAAAAGGAGAGAGAAATAAGTAGAGAGAGAGGGACCTCATACCACAAAGAAAGAAGTGCCAGGAGCAGAGTGTGTCCTTTGGACCTGGGGTCCCTGTGCTGAGAAGCTCCAAGATCAGCAGAAGATCAATGACAAGGACCTTTCCCTCCCCCAGAACCAACAGGGAGAGAAAGCCTTCCCTGGGAGCTGGCACCCTGAATTTGGACTTTTAGCCTCCTAGACTGTGAGAGAATAAATTTCTGTTTGTTCAAGTGGTATTTTTGTTATAGTAGTGCTAGATAACTAAGACAGCTGTCATTACTACCCAATTACACTGACACTTGGAATCAAGTGGTTTCGTCTGCGTTGTTTTTGTTGCTGCTGGTGTTTTTATAGTCGCTGATTTTGTCAAATTTTCTGGTATTTTAGCTACAATATTGTGGTAATTAGCATGGGGGGTGGGGTGATACCAACCCTAGTGACATCACTGACCACAACAATGGACTGTCAAATCTGTCTATGTCGGTTGTACTTGTGACTGTAATCAGGGAATTTAATTCATATCATTTACCAATGAAATATGAAGGGGAAAGGAAAGAGCTGTTTCTATGAAAACAAACTCATAGAAGAATTGTGGGAAGAATGTGGGAAGAACTCAGTGAAGGATGCTTACAAACAAAATCTCTCAAATTGGATTGTCTTGTCACAATGGCTTCCCCAGTGCCTACCGTAGTGCTGGTCTGACCTTGCTGTTAACTGCTGTTAGTTGGCCTCAGACTCATGGCAACCCCAAGCACAACAGAAGGAAATGCTGCTTGGTCCTGTGCCATCTGTATGATTGGTTGTGGATCAGACCACTGTGATCCATAGGGTTGTCATTGGCTGATTTTCAGAAGTAGATTGCCAGACTTCTCTTCCTAGTCTGTCTTAGTCTGGAAGCTCTGCTGAAACCTGTTCAGCATCATAGCAACATGCACGTCTCCACTGACAGATGAGGTGCATTGACCGGGAATCAAACCCGGGTCTCCCTCATGGAAGGCGAGAATTCTTCCACTGCACCACCACTGCCTCATGGCATGTCATAGGCATCAATTATAACTTACATTTTTTGAGCCCTTACCACGTGTCAAGCACTGTGCTAAGTGCATTTACTTTCTTTATTCTCCCTTAATCCTCATGGCAATTCTATGAAGTAGATACTATTCATATTCCAATTTTACAGATGAGGGAACTGAGATTCAGATAGGAGAAATATCTTGCCTAAGACTGTACAGGAGGAGCCCTGGTGGCACTCAGCTGCTAGCCAAAAGGTGAGCAGTTCTCCCAAGAGACAGAATGGGCCCCATAAACCAGAGACTGCATCAGCCTGAGACCAGAAGAACTAGATGGTGCCCGGCTACCACCTGACAGGGAACACAACAGACAGTCCCCGATGGAGCAGGAGAAAGGGGGGTGCAGAACTCAAATTCTAGTAGAAAGACCAGACTTAATGGTTTGATCTGAGACTGGAGGGACCCGGGAAGACATGGCCCCTGGACTCTCTGTCAGCCCAAAACTAAAACCATTCCCGAGGCCAATTCTTCAGACAAACATTAGACTAGACTATGGGACATAAAATGATACTCGTGAAGAGTGTGCTTCTTTGCTCAAGTAGATACATGAG